CTTAGGCCCGTGTTGCCTTAGCCCAGTACCCTAACCCATTCAGTTTTTATTTTTTAATTATATGTTTTTAAAACCCAAAGGGCTCGGGCCCTAGTTTTGGTTGGCCTTGGGCCGGTTTTCAACCAAGGGCTTAAAGCCCTGATTTCTGTTAGGAGGCCTTAGGGCCTTGTGTAGTGTGTGTGTGTGTGTGTGTGTGGTTATAGTATATGTATGTGTTTGGGCTTAAACCCAAACCCCTTTCCTAACCCTAAACCATTTTAACCTTAGAACCCTAAAATCAAAACCCAATAAATCCTAATCCTATTTAACCTAAACCCTAATCCGGATTTCAAGCCTAAAACCCGTTAGACCTAATTTGACCGTTGACCTCCGGTCAACATTGACTTTAGAGTTGACTTTTCGGGTTTTCGTCCGGGACCCTTCTTAGGGTAATTCGACGTTCTGAATCCGTTTCCAACGTCCGTTTTCCCAAATCCAATTGCTATTATATAGTTTTATTAATTGGACCCTTTATGTGCTTAGGGGCAATATTGGTGACGTTAGTTTGCGTGGCTCTTCGGCGGCTAAGTACTGTGAGTGGACCCCTTCAAAAGCATGTTTTAATAGTAGAAATGCATACATGAAATGCATGATTTAATGATTACGTTTTATGAAACGTTTTGAGATAACATGCTTACTGAGGCTACCTTGAATTATTACTATTTTTTCCTATAACCCGTGTTCTTATAGAATATCTGATGGATGACGATATGATATTTAGAACATGTTTCGAACACCTCTTTATAGTATAGATGATGGATGACTTTATACTATGAAGTTGTTTTTCAATATATGTATGTTCAATGGTTTTGTACTTACCTAGTGGTCCTTTCCGCTACGGGACGTAGGGATAGATTCCGGTCCGTCCCGGGCGACGGTTTGGTGTTGGCATAGGGCCTGGAGTGTGTTTCCTCTGGCTATTTAGCACAGGGACGGGGAGCCGGCATGGGGCCTGAAGTGTATTTTCCTCTGACTGTCTGCTCAGAGACGGGGAGCCGGCATGGGGCCTGCAGGTTATCGGACAATTCACTAGTGATTATTATATATGAGTTATGATTTGAGATACTGCACATCATGCTAGGTTTCGGAAAACCTATGTTCATCATTATATATTTGTTTTCATAAACCTGGGGGTTAGTATATTGTGTTGGATTTATTCCGATGTAAATCAACCTTAAATGGTCTACAACATATAATAGGAATGTAATATTGGAGATTAATGTAGATATTGTGATTTATTTCCTAAAGATATCAATCTTATATTAGGTGTCTTGTAATACAAGTAAGATTGATGGAGTCCTTGATTTTATGTGATTATGATACCTAACTGATAGGCTAAAAAGTGGGATTTGGGATTCCTTTATGGATGGAACCTTAATGCCTTAGCCAGTATAAATACTAAGGTCCCTGCAAACCCTAGATACACAACAAACACTTCCCATAAAGTAGTTGTATCCGGCTAGGTGCTTTGTAGAAGACTTTGGTGTTGCCGCATCCTTCATCTTCTCCGTTTGATCTCCAATGGCTATCGCTTCATGATCAGGTCAGCTAAAATTCCTTCGTTTGTGTTTTAATTATATAACCACATAAAGTTTACATGTGGTATCAGAGCCACTGGTTATATGATTAAAACCTATTAGGTTTGAAGTTTGATTATATAATATCTTTTCTTTTGGACTGCGGTTTTTTAAATCCAAATTGTGATTGCATTCGGCAACATCACCATGTTGGACCTGCTTGAAAACTGCATAGTACGGTTCCGCATATAATTGTATATACTTGGCATATTAGTCTGATATGCACGGCACATGTTTTACATAAATTCCTATTTGGTCTTAGAGACCGAAATTATCAGTTAAATTAAACAATTACATAATTGGATAATCTGTTTCTGCGAGTGGTGCCAGTTGAGTTCAAGTTTTCTTCCACCGCCACCACCCTTCAATTCCAAATGTGGGCTTTTCTAATTGAAGCACTAAATGATGATATTGAATTAACTATAATAAAGGAAGATTAAAATAGTTGGTTCATTATTTCATGGAATTGTATAATTGGAATTACCATGGTGCTTAACGTTTTCTATTTCAATGTTCATATTAATGTTTTGGTTCAATTGAAATAGTCATTTTGTTCTAACCATGCACCGGAGAATTTGAGATGATCAGCAAAGCCAAATAAGGAGGTTCATATATGCATCGCATATGAGATCCTGATGGAGGTCGGTTCTAACCTTGCACTGGAGAATTTTGAGATATATCACTCATAAATTGGTAAACTAATAATTGTTGAATGGTAGGTTTTCAAGCACTTCAAGCTTCCTTTCTTGTATTCAGTTCTCATAAAGAAAGATTGGAACAGTTTGCTTTGCTCATCTTTACTGAATTAATTATGACTGGAAGAATATGGCATGCTTTAAGCTTTCTTTCGATATTCATGCCAATGTTTTGGTTGAATTGATTTAGTGGTAGATACAACTTTTTGGCTAACGTTGTTGTCAATTTTGTAAGCATATAGAAATATGTACTTCTGTACTAATCTTGCCAAGGAAGACTATGAAGCATCTCAAGTCAACAAGCTCGGTAAAGTCTCCTATCAAAGCAAACAATATTGATCATTATATGTGTCAATTGCGAATTAATTAGTTGATCATGCATATGGTTAGTTTTGACTATTAAGTTTTAAACTTGGTTATCAAAACAAAGAGAAAATATATGTTTTGAACATGATTAATTCTGCATATAAGTGGCATACAGAACGAGGGAAAAGTAGATTTTTAAGATATGCCAAGATGCATGCATATAAAAGTGCATATATATCTTGCTTGTTCGTGGTTTTTTTTGTTAGTAATATGCATGAGTGAGCCTATTGGCTGGTCCAAGCAGCTCCAGTCACTGCTTCCAGGGTGGAAAGGCAACAAGGGGACACTAAGCACCCCTCAAAATATAATTACATACCTTATAAGGTTTTTTGGAATTACTTCTTAAACTCCAAATCTTTATTGCATTTGTTATCCATTTGAATAAGGACTAATATTGTTTGCCATGAATTGCAATTGCATAAGTGCCATCAATTGTTTGATCAAGCTAAGTATACGTAATTTTCTAAAGCCAATTATGTATCTAGAAGTTCACATTGCATGTGTAAAATTATCATGACACCAGTATCTAAATGGTATGTATATGGTAAACATGCGGAGAAGCATATGTAAAAATGCATAAATTATTTTATTGTTTGAGACTATATTTTGTACAAATAGTCTGGGTGTTTCGGCATTAGTACAAGAGTAAGTCTATTGCTCTGTTTTTCATGGGTAATAACTAAAATGGACATATGGCATGTTTTATTAAAGGGATTGGGTTGTCCTAACACAAATGTGTTTGATTAGTAATGCAGTATACTAAGCATGATGGGGGATTAATTCAAGTACGGTTTATAATGATATTAACTCCATGCGGAATTTGCATGACTAATCAAATTAGTTTTGTCTACAATTTTGCTTTCCTATCTCAGTATAGTCATTTAATTGTACATGACTAATGCATAACTTATGGATTGACTGAGAATGACAGAAAGCATCCAATGACAAGAATAAGGGTATAATACAAGTGAATAAGGTTTGTAGTAATTATGTGACAATTCTCATTTGTATTTTAACTATTTATTTGAGAATTGTGGTTGGTCATGTGATTATAAATATGTTTATAAAGAAGTGGTGAACATATGAAGGCATAAGGTATGTATTTCATTCAGAGCATGTGACTAAATTGATAAGCATAAGTCTTCAAACTTGTATATAGTTTATTAGTTTTTCCCATGCCTAAAGAATTTAAACAATGTTTTGATAAGTCAATTTTATGTGCCATAAGGGGAGAAGAAAAGAAATTATTCAAGGCTAATGTATGGCATGTATTGGAGTTTTTTCTTTTGGAAGAAAAGAATTTTTGGTTGTTCCTTTACTTAATTTGGTATTTACAAGGCTAATGCACGATTTTGATGCTAATGTTTTAGGAGTCTTTTACTACAGAAATAAAGGTACAAAAGGAAAGGAACTCGTTTGACTTAAGAGAGCATTTAAGTGATATCACAATTTGGCTTTTGAATTAAAAGCGACTATATTGTTTAAAGTGTTTCCATTTTGAATCTATTAGCTCCATCATGTTTTCTCATACGTGTTGATATCCTTGTGGTGGAAGATTGATATTATAGCTCTTATACAACTTGATCTATATGTGATTAATCTCCTTTCAAGTATGTTGTCAGGTTTTTTGAGATTAATTGGATATCGAAAGGAGTCATGAAGGCTGGAGATGATTAATGTCTTGTCAACTAAGCAAGCCGTAGCGGCTTAGTTGATGCTGGGACTATGGTTTTAAGTTACTTTGATCAACGTTGCATCTTAATTAGAATAAAAGGGATAATCTTCTTGCCCGTAGGTGTGGATCGTTTCCTTTGTTTTAATTAAGATGGCATAGTATGAGTTTTATTTCACAGGAGTTTGTGAAAACTTCATCTTGCCCGTAGGTGTTGAAGTTTTTTATGAAGGTAACTCTTGTGACATATAATTCAGTACTAGAAACTAATTAATTTTCTTGCCCGTAGGTGTAAATTAATCTAGTTTCATGAAGTTTATTGGGGATAAAGTTCCATGCCATCAGTTACAAAATCCCACTATGAGCCCCATAATAGGTTGTGGTTTTAAGGCATGGAAATCGGTTGCATCATAACATATTTTGTGTCTATTCATGAGACTTGTTGATGCAAAGTATTGGACCCATGAAGGTTAATCAAGGATTGCTAAGGTACACATTATTTAAGTCTTATGCTTGTAAATCTTTTCAATTTGAAGTATGATGTCGTTTTAGATGATGAAATTTGACTACTAGAGTTTCCCTTGGACATCAAAATTGAAATGATATGAAATTGAATTGTTATGGATGTATCAATTCATGATAGATGCACATGATTGTTTCTGGCAGATTGCATGTCTTGATTTAAATTGAGTGAATGATACGTCTAATGATCACCAAACGACCTGAATTTTTGATATGTTCAACATATATATGTCTACTATGTGTCTGCAAATTTTCGTAAAGTTTTGCCATGTAGTGTAATTATGGTGAATTTACTAGTAACCCATGCTCGTACAGACAGTTTTGCTGGCATATTGTTTTTGTCTTTTGAGACGTCACTTTAGACAATTAGTTTGACCTAAAACGGCCCTATATTTTTATTTTATGATAGTATGTCTTTTTTGATCTGTAAAATTTTGGTAGCAATTAAGCTTGTAAATTAATTATGATAAATTCTAAAGTAAGTGTAACTCATTGCTGAAATTCTGTTTGATAACTTTATGTTGGTTGTGATGTCTATTTAATTATGTCTAAAATATGAAGCAAATTTGTTTAGGTAAATCCTTGAAAGAATATATGAATGAGTGTTTGCCCAAGTGGGAGAATTAGTGAAAGAAAATTGGGCTTCACACTCATTAACTTATTTGCAATAAGTGTATAAACTCTAAAAGTTTAGTGGGAGTTGTTCTAAAGTTTTGAGCATTAAGTGGACTTGCATAAAGTGTTATTCTATCTTCCATGAATATGTGTTTTGGTTGATGAAATTAGAATTATGCCATGACTCGAATGACAATAATATGTTTAAGTTGCAGAATGAGTACTTGGTGTATGTGTATATTTTTACTTGCAATCATCACACTCATTAACTTATTTGCAATAAGTGTATAAACTCTAAAAGTTTAGTGGGAGTTGTTCTAAAGTTTTGAGCATTAAGTGGACTTGCATAAAGTGTTATTCTATCTTCCATGAATATGTGTTTTGGTTGATGAAATTAGAATTATGCCATGACTCGAATGACAATAATATGTTTAAGTTGCAGAATGAGTACTTGGTGTATGTGTATATTTTTACTTGCAATCATTTGGATGCCTTGATTGATTATTTGTTAATCTTTAGAAGAATTTTGAGGCTCATGGGGACTTAGCACAAATATGGAATTATTAATGCAAATAGATGGTTGTGAAATGCATGGTTTTGTATAAACAGCGGTGAATGTCTTAGTTTTACCTTTCATTGAGATTATGCTATTTAAGGTGTTAAGGAAAGGTTAAAGAAAGACAATTTTGTAGTGATATGCATTCATTGACTAAGTAAGGGTGTTCCCACAAGCATATTTCAAAAGTATGATTTAAGTAGTGATTTGCAAATTAAGTGACGATGTTGCAAATCAGTGGGAGCTTGAGTTTCATGTAATTGATGCCTTACATTTGCAGATGACCTATAAGGTATGTATGGTTGATTGAATCCATTCATTTAGTTTAATCTCCGGTTGGATTCATGAAGTCACATGTTTATGTGTTGGTCAATTATCAGATGATGATATATCTGATATCCAGTTAAGCAAATTGCATTTTAAGTCATAAAGGAATGGTTAATCTTCTTGCTCGTAGGTGTGGATTAATTCTTTTGGTTCGACTTAAAATGGCATGACATGATTTATATGTTGTATTAGTTGTGAGGGTTTTTTCATCTTGCTCATAAGTGTTGAAAATTTTTTCTCACGAAAGTAACTAATATGGTATATGAACTAGTGTCAAAAACATGTTAATTCATCTTGCTCGTAGGTGTTGAATTAATTGTGTTTTATGAAGTTTTGTTTGCAACTGCAGTAGAAGTTTGCATTAAAGAGGACCTGAGATGATAAAAGTTGAGACACATTAAGGTAATTAAAGTTCATCTTTGCAATCATAATTTGATGGTGTTTCATGTGGATGAGGATTTTAGCATGTGTGATTATGAAGGTTTTTGGTTGTGTCAACCTTACAACCTTGTTAGTTCCATGTTGAAAGACTTATTTGACAGAAACTTGTATCAAGGATAGGATGTTATCACAATTACATGGCCATTAAAGTGACATTAATCTCCAATTTCAAGTATAAACATAAATACTATATGTGTAGACCAGTGGGAGAATGTTGGATTTATTCCGATGTAAATCAACCTTAAATGGTCTACAACATATAATAGGAATGTAATATTGGAGATTAATGTAGATATTGTGATTTATTTCCTAAAGATATCAATCTTATATTAGGTGTCTTGTAATACAAGTAAGATTGATGGAGTCCTTGATTTTATGTGATTATGATACCTAACTGATAGGCTAAAAAGTGGGATTTGGGATTCCTTTATGGATGGAACCTTAATGCCTTAGCCAGTATAAATACTAAGGTCCCTGCAAACCCTAGATACACAACAAACACTTCCCATAAAGTAGTTGTATCCGGCTAGGTGCTTTGTAGAAGACTTTGGTGTTGCCGCATCCTTCATCTTCTCCGTTTGATCTCCAATGGCTATCGCTTCATGATCAGGTCAGCTAAAATTCCTTCGTTTGTGTTTTAATTATATAACCACATAAAGTTTACATATTGATAACTGTTTTATTATATATATATCAACTTGGTCCACTCATGTTTGTTTTGCGCCCCCTTCAGGATTTAGGATCGAGGCTTACAATCCCGAAAATCAAGGCACTTCCGCATCGGCATTTTCGAGTCCTCTTGGTGTGGGACTCATTCTTTTATTCATTCCATTTTATATCATTCTTTTAGTGTTCTAGTTAGTTGTATGCTCTGAACACGTTCCTTAAATGCATATTCCTTATTCTTTTACATTTATAAGTTTTATCTATCCTTTATTTTCAGCAATTGCACTCAATAAATGGCTTTCGTCACCCTCGGGTGTCGGCCAGCACGTGACCATCCTGATATCCGAGGATATCGGGATCGGGGCGTGTCAGTAACTAAGGCCACATTTCATGCGCATGATTGGATTGGATTGGATTGTCCACGCCTGCGCACGAAAAATTGCCTAAACGCACGAAGATCATTGAGAAATGAAAAAGTTGAGAAGCAAGGAATATCCTGTTACCTGCTTAGAATTTCAGAGTTATCAGCCAAGGCTCCAATGACCCAGTAAACCATGCTCTGGAACATGGCATCAAGCAGTCCGAAACTAAAATACAACACGAAGGGTCCTGCAAAAGCAGAGCCGGAGTCCTTAAAATCCAACTTCTCAGGCAAATCACTGCGAGAGTAGTTGAGCTGGTTGACAAGTCCGCCAATCCATATTGTAGTCCCGAGAACACCAACTACTGAAATGCCAGCGAAACCCCTCGTCCTCCTGCTCTTGAAGCTGAAATCCATAACGTATCCAATCCCGACGGACCCCAACATCTGCGCTCCCCAGTAGAACACATTGTTCAATCCTCTAGTCCTCAGATTAAACATAATTTGATTGACGTTGTTGAATTGGTAGGTGTAGAAAAAATTGCTCGACCAAGCAGCCGGGATTATAAGAAGCATTTTCCAATTTGTAAACAGCTTGGCAATCTCAATGGCCTCAGTCGTAACATTTGAGTACTGAATGTCCGTACATTTAGTCCCGTCGTCCCGGACAACTTTGCTGGGGGGCAGGATAGCGAGGGATAAAAGAGTCCCAATGGACATGAAAATCATGAACCCAATGTAAGTTGCATCGTTGACGGAAGCCGCTTCACTCCGGTGGTAATTAAGAACGAAGGGAATTAGTCCACCGATGACGCCACCCATGTTGAAAATGCTCCAGAAAATCGAGATGTATGTCCCCTTTCGGTTTGGGGGAGGGTATGACGTCATGATGGCACCTTGGCCGGCCCAGAGGAGGCCGGCGCCGATTCCGAGGATTGCTCCGGCGACAATAGCGAAAGCCTGGTGTTTGTGGTGGTTGTAGTAGAGGAATGAGCCGGCGTAGAGAACGTAGGTGGAGCAGGCGGAGAGGAGAGTGAGGCGGGGGCCGAGGATGTTGTAGATGCCGCCACCGAGGATACCGAAGACGGCGAAGGTGGTATAGAGGGCGGTGGAGGCGTTGTTAGCGGCGGTCGGATCGACCTGGCCTCCGCCGCCCATGCCGGAGAGGGCGTTGAACATGCCAGGGCAGCAGAAACAGACCAATCCGATCAAACTCACTTGGACAAACGGCGAGTTGTACCTGAATTTTGACTGGGGCACCTCCGTGCCTCCCGATTCTTCCACTCCTTCGGAAACCATCGAATCCCAGGTGATAAATTTTACGACTTTTGTGTGATTTTAATCACAAAGTTCCTCCCTTTGAATGCCAAATGGAACTGGGATCCGAACTTTTTCTCGAGCGATATTCTAAACTAATCTAATTTATGGGAAGGATGAACTGACATATGTGGTTGTGATTAGCAGAAGGATTTAGCTCGGGACGATATAGTCCACGACTAATTGCAAGGGTCAAAACGGACAAGGACCCTTGGATTGGACAAAGAATGCAAAGCAAATGACAATTTCTGGAGTCCAGGCTTTGTCTGGGTTTTCAGAGTCCAGCGGGGCGTGTGAGAATGATGCTGAGAAAAGTCGGATTATAAATCCTTAATCCCGACGGGACGGGATATGAATACGCATAAAAAAAATAAAAAAAAACTGGATTTGGCTGCTGCAGATTCAGCAGCTGCTCACACCCGACTGAACACGTGTTCAAATTTTAATTTTTTTAATCAAAACTGGTATACGTGTCCAATCGAAATTGGATGAAAGCCGCAGCGAAGTTAAATCCATAAAAAATTCAGTCAATTTCAAAATTTCAATCATTCGTTAGATAATAGGTGGAAAGGAATCTTGTATTTTAATTCCCTAGTGGGATGGGTATATGAGTATACTGTATATGTCCATGCCAAACTGTCCTTGATTCATGGTCCACGGAAAGAGAGACAAAGAGTGAAGAGCGAAAACAACTTAGATGGTATAACTATAAGCGTTAAAGAAATAAAGACGCGCGGATAAAATATTACATATACTTCTAACTTATTGGGACGTTATGCTAAAGTAGCGATAAATTTTTCAGTGTATTTGGAACACGTTCGGTACACAAGTGTAATAATATAATTGGTTGAAATTTTATTTTCAATTTTCAACTAATTATATTATTATATTTGGTGTACCAGGCCGGGTTTTCGACGTACTGAAAAAATCTTCCCACAATAACGGTGTATTATTTATTAGGGTAAATTACATAGTTACCCCTCAAGTTTAAAGTCTATTACAACTCTATACAACATCTTTAAAACATTTCACTTTCATACCCCACCTACTATTTTATTTCAATATAGTACCTCCATTACAACATTTACTCAGTAAAATACTTGACAATTTGAACATGGTACATAATTTACACTAATTCGTGAAGATTCGATTGTATGAACGTAATTAAATCAAATATTCAGAGCTTATGACTAATTTGATCTGCTAATTAAGCCGACGATCATTATGATCACTTCTCTGAGGCTGCAGGCTCAGCAACCTTCTCCTTGGTAAATTCCTCCACATCAGCCTTACCTTCATCCTTCACAGCCAGCAAGATCAGAACCAGCAGCAGCGGATAACTCACGGTGTTGAGCGCGAAATTGGTAACCAATTGGGAGAGGAAGGATGCCTTGAGCGTATCGACTTGCCAAGCAACTGCTGCCCCTGCACTCTGTATTCCTTTGTAGAATCCAACATACCTGTACAAAACATGCACAAAAATATGAGTTTTTAGCATCACTCTTTGTTCTGTGACTGTAACTAAGGCCACATTTCGTGCGCATGATTGGATTGGATTGTCCACGCCTGCGCACGAAAAATTGCCTAAACGCACGAAGATCATTGAGAAATGAAAAAGTTGAGAAGCAAGGAATATCCTGTTACCTGCTTAGAATTTCAGAGTTATCAGCCAAGGCTCCAATGACCCAGTAAATCATGCTCTGGAACATGGCATCAAGCAGTCCGAAACTAAAATACAACACGAAGGGTCCTGCGAAAGCAGAGCCGGAGTCCTTAAAATCCAACTTCTCAGGCAAATCACTGCGAGAGTAGTTGAGCTGGTTGACAAGTCCGCCAATCCAAATTGTAGTCCCGAGAACACCAACTACTGAAATGCCAGCGAAACCCCTCGTCCTCCTGCTCTTGAAGCTGAAATCCATAACGTATCCAATCCCGATGGACCCCAACATCTGCGCTCCCCAGTAGAACACATTGTTCAATCCTCTCGTCCTCAGATTAAACATAATTTGGTTGACGTTGTTGAACTGGTAGGTGTAGAAAAAATTGCCCGACCAAGCAGCCGGGATTATAAGAAGCATTTTCCAATTCGTAAACAGCTTGGCAATCTCAATGGCCTCAGTTGTGACATTTGAGTACTGAATGTCCGTACATTTAGTCCCGTCGTCCCGGACAACTTTGCTGGCGGGCAGGATAGAGAGGGATAAAAGAGTCCCGATGGACATGAAAATCATTATCCCAATGTAAGTTGCATCGTTGACGGAAGCCGCTTCGCTCCGGTGGTAATTAAGAACGAAGGGAATTAGTCCACCGATGACGCCACCCATGTTGAAAATGCTCCAGAAAATCGAGATGTATGTCCCCTTTCGGTTCGGGGGAGGGTATGACGTCATGATGGCGCCTTGGCCTGCCCAGAGGAGGCCGGCGCCGATTCCGAGGATTACTCCGGCGACAATAGCGAAAGCCTGGTGCTTGTGGTGGTTGTAGTAGAGGAATGAGCCGGCGTAGAGGACGTAGGTGGGGCAGGCGGAGAGGAGAGTGAGGCGGGGGCCGAGGATGTTGTAGATGCCGCCGCCGAGAATTCCGAAGACGGCGAAGGTGGTATAGAGGGCGGTGGAGGCGTTGTTGGAGGCAGTCGGGTCGACCTGGCCTCCGCCGCCCATGCCAGAGAGGGCCATGAACATGCCAGGGCAGCAGAAACAGACCAATCCGATCAAACTCACTTGGACAAACGGCGAGTTGTACCTGAATTTCGACTGGGGCACCTCCGTGCCTCCCGATTCTTCCACTCCTTCGGAAACCATCGAATCCCAGGTGATAAATTTTACGACTTCTGTGTGATTTTAATCACAAAGTTCCTCCCTTTGAATGCCAAATGGAACTGGGATCCGAACTTTTTATCGAGCGATATTCTAAACTAATCTAATTTACGGGGATTTGGTGGAGAATCGAAAGGATGAACTTATGTGGTTGTGATTAGCAGAAGGATTTAGCTCGGGACGATATAGTCCGGGACCAATTGCAAGGGTCAAAACGGACAAGGACCCTTGGATTGGACAAAGAATGCATAGCAAATGACAATTTATGGAGTCCAGGCTTTGTCTGGGTTTTCAGAGTCCAGCGGGGCGTGTGAGAATGATGCTGAGAAAAGTCAGATTATAAATCCCTAATCCTGACGGGATGGGATATGAATATGCATAAAAAAATCACAGTTTCAAATTTTTAATCATTCGTTAGATTAGGGGTGGAAGGGAATCTTGTATTTCAATTCCCAAGTTGGAATGGGCATATGAGTATATGTCCATGCCAAACCGTCCTTGATTCAGGGTCCAAGAAAAGAGAGATAAAGTGTGAAGATCGAAAACAACTTCGATGGTATGAGATTTAAAGAAATAAAGACGTACGGATAAAATATTAGGTACAATTTTATTTTATTAGTGTATCAGGTCGTGTTTCCGACAACTGAAAAATCTCCTCATAATAACGATGTATTGTTTATTATTAAGAGCATGACTTGAAGTTGGGTAAAAAACGGAAACAATATGTTAACCAACTTAAGCTCATGTCTGCAACGTATAATCTTCTGTTTTCCGTAACATCAAATAATTCAGTAACTAATTAAACTTGGTTTGTCTAATATGATTATGCAGGCGCAGATAATCAAGTAATTGTATTTTCCTTCCCAAGCGTGAGGGAGAAATTGTAAATTAAGAGTGGCTATATGTTGTTTTCAACTTGTTTGGCATACTTCACAGAAAAGTCTAAGTTTGCTGTTGACATCGACAAACTCTTCAAACGCAAGCGCACCAAGTGACGTTAAAGCATTTTGGCATTATTAGCTCATTAAACGGCAAGTCGGGCGGCTGCAATTCCTGATCGACCAAAAACTCATTTCAATATATTCTGCGGATTTTTTCGGTCTATAAAAAGTAAATTGTCATGACGAAACCACTAATTAGTCTCATTTTAAAGAAAATAAAAGGATTAAAAACTCATTTCAATAGGGAGTTATCGAGCGTTCTTGAGAGGAAGATATTGTTTTTGTTGGTTTGTGGAAAAAAAAAAAACATTCGACAATTGTAAACTCGGTCTCCTAAATGAATGAGTTTTTGTTTAATAAGTTCATTACTCAAGCAACTTTTATAATCTTGTTCAGAGTTCAATTATTACTGTTGTGCGACTGACTTAAGATACAGACACAATATCATGATGACTTAAACGTTACATATGCCGAGAATATCACTATATTAATATTCCAAATCAATTGTGAAAATTTTAACAAGACGTGATTGACTTTTCATCGGTACTTATGGTGGTCCAAGAACGGACCACCAGCAATAGGGTTGTGGAAAGGATAAAGGGATGACCTACGTTTCAAGATTATAGACTTTGGCTCTACACCATTTTCTACTGTAGTTTTTGGAAGTAGATCCTAATCTGCAACAAGATCCAACGAACACATCAAGTATCAAATCGAAATCTCGGACCATGTATCCGAAAGTCAAACACATTATTGCTCCACGATTACGACGCTTCCTTACTAAAAGACGTTTAACAATATGACGAAAACCCGTCAAGATAATCTAGAGCAATGCTCGAGTCCTGTCGAGGCCCCTTCAAGCGGTACTTGGACCCCCACCGAGGCCTCACAAGGACTGCTCGAGCCTTGCTCGAGTGGTTAAAACTCCAGAAGGCTTTTAACATGTCATAAAAAACACTAATTAGGATTTAGACAGCCCAACTCAATCACATACCAGCAAATACACACTACGAGTAGGGTGGCCTCCGAAATCCAACGGGCAAAGGAAACCTGATCTATTGCTCATATTGAGTGGACGCGTCTTACCTTCTGGCTAAAACAACAACGAAAGCATCCTCCGATGAAAAATGTCTGGTGCGAAAGAACCCAATAACTGATTGAATTGGCAAACAACTATGAGATATCAAACTCTATGCTCCTTTCTTGCGGTTCTGAAGCAAAAACCATGATTCCTTTGCATTATCTTGCTTAGTTGTTTCCTCGATCATTCAAACACCATGATGAGATCCTTCTGAGGAAGCATCATCACTGTGCGTGCCTCCAGTTGGTCCAAGGGTGGAAGGATTGTTAACCAAGCATTTGTAAATACTCAAGGCTCGAGAGATCATAGGAAAATCACGTCAAATATCATCTGGCTCTATCACTAGCTAGGGTTTGACATGAAGGTTCCTCGATGAGTAGAAGACTCTCTCAGTATTCCTTCCAAGCATCCATGAATATAATGGACAATCGTGGTCAAGAACTAGTCATTCAGACATTTTATCAAAACATGAACTTTGATTACTCTGTAAATTTTTTGACAATTTGAACGTGCTACATCAATTATACTGGCATTTCCATTACAATAATTCGTGAAGATTCGATTGTATGGACGTAATTAAGACAAACATTTGGATGGCTTATGACTAATTTCATCTGCTAATTAAGCCGACGATCATTACGATCACTTCTCTGAGGCTGCAGGCTCAGCAACTTCTCCTCGGTAAATTCAGCAACCTTCCCCTTGGTAAATTCCTCCACATCAGCCTTACCTTCATCCTTCACGGCCAGCAAGATCAGAACCACCAGCAGCGGATAACTCACGGTGTAAAGCGTGAAATTCGTAACCAATTGGGAGAGGAAGGATGCCTTGTGCGCATCGACTTGCCAAGCTACTGCTGACCCTGCACTCTGTATTCCCATGTAGAATCCAACATACCTGTACAAAACATGCACAAAATTAAATAAATTTTTAGAATCACACATTGTTCTGTGAATGCCACTAAGTCCACATTTCGTGCGCAGGATTGGATTGGATTGTCCAGTCCTGCACACGAAAAATTGCCCAAACGCACAAAGATCATTGAAAGGTTAAAGACTTGGGAAGCAAGGAATATTCTATTACCTGCTTAGAATTTCAGAGTTATCAGCCAAGGCTCCAATGACCCAGAAAACCATTCTCTGGAATATGGCATCAAGCAACCCGAAACTAAAATACAACACGAACGGTCCTGCGAAAGCAGAGCCGGAGTCCTTAAAATCCAACTTCTCAGGCAAATCGCTTCGAGAGTAGTTGAGTTGGTTGGCAAGTCCGCCAATCCAAATTGCAGTCCCGAGGACACCAACAACCGAAATGCCCACGAAACCCCTAGTCCTCCTGCTCTTGAAGCTGAAATCCATAACGTATCCAATCCCAATGGACCCGAAAATCTCCGCTCCCCAGTAGAACACATTGTTCAATCCTCTAGTCCTCATATTAAACATAACTTTATTGACGTTGTTGAATAGGTAGGTGTAGAAAAAAATGCTCGACCAAGCAGCCGGGATTATAAGAAGCATTTTCCAGTTTGTGAACAGCTTGGCAATCTCAATGGCCTCAGTTGTGACGTTTGAGTACTGAATGTCCGTACATTTAGTCCCGTCATCCCGGACAATTTTGCTGGGGGGCAGGATAGCGAGGGATAAAAGAGTCCCGATGGACATGAAAATCATGAACCCAATGTAAGTTGCATCGTTGACGGAAGCCGCTTGGCTCCGGTGGTAGTTAAGAACAAACGGAATTAGTCCTCCGATGACGCCACCCATATTGTAAATGCTCCAGAAAATCGAGATGTATGTCCCCTTTCGATTCGAGGGAGGGTACGACGTCATGATGGAACCTTGGCCGGCCCAGAGGATGCCGGCGCCGATTCCGAGGATTGCTCCGGCGACAATAGCGAAAGCCTGGTGCTTGTGGTGGTTGTAGTAGAGGAATGAGCCGGCGTAGAGGACGTAGGTGGAGCAGGCGGAGAGGAGTGTAAGGCGGGGGCCGAGGATGTTGTAGATGCCGCCACCGAGGATGCCGAAGATGGCGAAGGTGGTGAAGAGGGCAGTGGAGGCGTTGTTGGAGGCAGTCGGGTCGACCTGGCCTCCGCCGCCCATGCCGGAGAGGGCGTTGAACATGCCAGGGCAGCAGAAACAGACCAATCCGATGAGACTCACTTGAACAAACGGCGAGTTGTACCTGAATTTCGATAGGGGCACCCCCGTGCCTCCCGATTCTTCCACTCCTTCGATACCCATATAATCCTTATCCCAGATGATAAATTTGACGACTTTTTGAGAATTTGATTATAAAGTTCTTCCTTTATGGATGCCAAAGCCAAAAGGACTTTGGGAACTCGGCTTTGTTTTTTGTTCGAGCGATATTTTAAACTAAACTAATTTACTAAAAGCGGGATTTGAGTGGAGAGTGGAAAGCAATGAAATTACGGATAAAGAGTGTGATGAAGTACCAGTTTGGCACGGCTGAAATTATAAAAAAACAGCTATGAATAAAAGTTGGAGTGTAAAATGTGTTTGATAAATATAAAAATAAGCGCTTCTTTTCAAAGTTTTAGCCAAAATAAGCAGAAAAATGGAAGCAACATTTTACTGCTTCTCAAAACCTGCTTTTTTTCAAAGCAGGTGGATGAATAGTAAAGTTTAATGAAACTTTCTTAAACCCAATCATACCCTCTTCGTTTCTCCTTCTCGCTTCCTTTATCGTATCAGATCTTCGAATCCGATTGTTCGAGAGGACGAGTCGAGTCCGGCTTCGCAAGGAATTCAAGGCCGCTGGCGATTATGTTATTGGGGAGGATGAACTTCTGAAGATTTATGCTTTACGGGAACTATTATAGGGACAAAATGCTTGCGATCCAGGGGGCTAGAGCATAGGCGAAGCTACAGAAGGATAAGAGGGGTGGCGCACCCCTCCCCTCTTCGAAAATGAAGCCCAAGTGCCCCTCTGGTCTCGTCGGATAATCTACCCCTTCTGAATCAACCACAAAATCAAAAAGCAGAATGCTTGGGCGAGACTAAGAAGGACTAGGCGGAGGTATGCGGGTCCGGGAACGGGCTAGGCGGGCGTACATGAAGACGTCAAAATCGGATTTTTTTTTCTTCTGCATAGTCGGGCACGAGGAAGAAGATGACTTTGGTCCCATTTTAATTGCACGATTCCATTTGAGATGGAGATGGAAGATAAAAATATAAATAAATATAAAACAAAGATAAACGAGAGAGATGGAAGCTGAAATTATAAATAAATAAAAAACAAAATCAAGATAAATGATGAAGATTGAAGATGAAATTATAAATAAAAATAAAATAAATTATTATGTCACATTTAATATTACATCTTTTTAGTCATTTAACATAATCTCAGCAGATTTACATAAAAATTTACCAAATACTTGAACACTGCTACAAAAAAGCACTTTTACAATACAAGTTT